ACCGCTCTTCCGATCTTCAAAGGGCAATGTGAGTAATTCAATGCACCCCATGGGCTTGAAAAGTTAAACCAAATAGATGGGCCCACCCAACTCAAGCTGGAGGATTCAACTCGAAAGCTTCTTTCTATTCACTTTCGTGGACGTTGGTGGCTCACTATACTTGCTGGATGACGTCGGATCGGACAAGCTGTTAGAATTGCCTGGTCCTTTCAAATATGACCATGATTGATTTTTGCATCTCTCGGTACTCTATTGAGGAAAATGTCGGTAGCTCAGTTAGTGTAGATGGTGGTCGTTGGCTTGTTCGCTGAGCTGGGCAATTTGATTGCAAACGTTTCATCACCAATTGAGGTGACATCATCAGTGCGTTATTAGGGAGCGTAGTGGTGCGTAGCGGTGGGTTATTGGTTGTGCCAGCCATTTACTATCGAAAGATGGAGGCCCTTCACGGCGGAGTTGTTTGATAGAAAACGCCAACCAAACAGTTACAGACTACTGGACAGGAAAGTCAAACTCTGTATGCAACTAGTTTTTAAAAACTGAATATCCGTCTTCTTCTTCAGCGTATCTTCTTGGGATTTCCTGTATATCACATAATTGTAAACGAATGCTACAAAGCAGTTCCAAAAATTCCGTAATTTAATTCCACCTTCCATTTGATCAAGCCGGAAGTACGGGAAAACCACATACTACTGGCATGCCTCATCAGTAGTATCCAGCGTTAGGCTATTCGATTAATAGGTGGACATAGTATCACACTAATAAATTCATGTAGCCAATATAAAGGCCAGTAATCATTCTGCACGTGACAGGAGGCATATGTTTAGTCTAATTTCCACCACTCGCCTTACGAAAGCTCTGATTAGACCAATGTTGCAAACACCAATCGCTGCTGGCTGCCCTATGGGACGACCATGGAAATTACCGAGGTCAGAAAATCGATGAAGGTAAATAATCAAGTGTTTGCTGACAAATCCATACGTCCACTTATTGACAAGCTGTTCTACTTAGTTCTGTTACACGATTTTGATCAGATACCATTATTCGTGTTCCTGTTGGAACGCCTTTCAAATGTCGGGAATTTCCTTCGATATCCTGTTAATCTTTTAACTTTTCAGGGGTAAGGGAGCTCTCTTGTAGTCAACACAACACGCAGTGCGTGCGAGATAGTGCAAAAAGGCCTAGTCGCTTGTGGGTTACTTTCGAAGGAGAACTATCGCACACAGGTTCAAAATAGAACGTTCGCTGAGGCAGAATTGCAAGGGGTTACCCGGATAAGGAGATTACCATAACCTACGATTCAACTGGGGAGGGGAACCCAGTGGTGTCAATAGTCTGGTGCCAAATGACAGGTGATTGCAGACGAACTCACATCCTGTTGTTGACACGTCATCCTGCCAACGCTGCGTTGGCTTTCGTCATCCGTTTGTCACACAGAGTGAAGTATGGTGATTATTTTGCGAAGACGTTTGGCTTTGACAGACTAAAACCTAGCGTGTTCACAGCTGTCTGTGACTCCTCGACTATCAAGGCCTCAGTGAGCGGAGGTCCACTGTGCCAGATTTACTCATCCACTGTGTGTCAATTCATTTGGGGTTGCGCTGTTACGCAACACATAAGTCTACGGCTAGTTGGAAGAGAGGAACCAACAGGACACTGTTGCACAAAGCGTCGTCCGCCTTTTAGAGGTGTTTAAATTCCTGAACAGATATGACATGTTTGAATGAGTGCTCGGAACACCTGCATTGATTTTTAGAGTCTTCCCCTAACCCACAGAAGATCATCTAGGATGACATGATGCCTATTGACAGTGATACTGATGTGCTCCCCCCCCCCCGTCCGGGAGACTTCCTTCTGCAGCTTGCGTATGGGATAGAACGACAAAACTTCCCCGCTGTCAGTAGGTTCAACTGCTTAGATCTTCTTTCATTGGACCATGATGACACCGTAGTTTTAAAACTCGGAAGCCATGCCACCGAGATGCATACTGACAACCTAGCATTACATGGGTAATTTTCTTTAGCTCCAAATAAATCTTTGACTTTTCTAGCAAAGTTGGGTAAGTTACTGGCTTGTTGTTCCAGCTACTTTCCAAAATAATGGATTGCTACATTCAGTTGCGCACCTGTTCCGAGTCAGGATACAGGCTTGCTCTGTCCCAGTAATCAATTATCCACGAGGGTGCAACACCAGAGGAATAACAAGATGAGATGCTTCTAATCCGTAGCAAACATATCATTGAATCTCATGCTATTAGTGTAAAAAAACACAATTATTCCAAAAAGGTTTCCTAACTTTCACAGACTTCAAAAGTTATTCGTTCTAACATGGAAATGGTGACATGCTCTGAGGGGTGTCGCGCAAATCTTATAGTCATGAGAAAGCAATATACCGATTCACTGAAAACGATTAGATCCGTAAATTACTAAGCGAAGTGACACCATCGACAGACAGACTGTGAGACATCCGAAAACATTCGGAGATCATATCTCGTTCTTTGAATACTGAAGTCTAGTTTCTAGCCCATATTGCGTACCCGTTAATCTTTGTGCGTTTTTCCACATCACTATCTACGTCCCATCAACCATTCTTGCCACTAGTGCTTGGTTCATTTGAAGAAAGGTGCGGCTAATGGACAGAAGCGTTTCTTACGAGGAGTGCTCTATAGGCTTATCCGCTAAAGCGGGGGCCGTCAATGTGGCGGCACTCTTTCTGGGCGTCACCCTGAACTTGCAATTAGGGAAGAACAGTGAGTTGGTTCACTGAATGATACGATTCTCAGATAAGCAATAGCCCCGTTGCATGACATTGAAGCAGATAAAACATGTGGAGATGATCATATTGCTGTGTATTAGACCCATAAGAACGTAGTAAATTGCTATGTATTCTTCCTCCTAGTTCAGGTTCCGTGTCTCTGCAACAATAGTCTTGTAGCAGTCATCTTCAACTGAATGTGATGCACCAGGCTGTCTCATGTTTCAATACACCGTCTGGATGTAACACGCTACTCATAAGGTTACTGAAAACCATTCGATAACCCGCAACCGATTTCGCCTCACTTGAGTTTCTTGTCAAAACCGCCCGACTGGGTCCAAGCGGAACATATGTTGGACAGAAACTAGGGGGATGCGCATACCTGACTAGCCCGAAAACGAGCGAAAGCGGTCGTGAACCGCCAAAGACTTTTCAGCAACCTTGTACACATCATGAAGGGCGGAGGGGTTACACAATGACGTTACCCTCCTGGTCATCGGTCGGATTTGTAGCAGCTCGTCGTCACCCGTCCCACAGCAAAACCTCCGGTTTTCGTGGTTTCACTCGTGGCAGTCGCGCTGGTCGGAATTTCTTTGAAACTCTACGCTTATTATATCAGCTAAGGCTGCGTATTATTCAATTATTAATAACACTGGCGGTGGGAACGTTGTGAGTCGTGTTACAGGGAAACGATATTTCACTGCTTGGAATATTGTTACAAGTGCGAAATGAGTTGAAATTCTGGGAGTATGCTCAACGAAAGTATACTATAAAAAGTGCTCAGTTGAGATGCACTCTAGTATACCGTTGACGTTGCAAACAGTCTCTCTTTCAGTAGATTACTTATTAAAGATATCTAATGGCATTAAGCTGCCGCTGAAAAAGAAATCGTCGTCAATTTTAGTCATTTCTTGAAGACGTTGCTTGAGAACATAATTAACGAGACATTCCGCTGTGTTCTAGGTGAGCCTCCCGCAAAGTCAAACTGGTTTGCAAATGGATGCCTTTCGCCAACTTCGTGCAATTTGGGTTCACGTAAAACACAAAATTGACGGAAACTCGGGGACTGAACCTACCTGATGAGCCCCAAGAAGGGCGAAATAGGTCATGGGCTGTCGAAGAATTTTCAGCAACCTTATGAGTAGTGTATTATTTATATACATGTATCGCGGCACCCCGAATATCGGACCAACTGAAACATGAGTCGACCTGATGCAGCACATTCGGTTGCTTGAAAACATCACAAACGAGGGACTCAGCAGGGTTAGTCTCCCGCAAAACTGAATTTGTTTGCAAACGGGTGTATTTCGCTAATTTGGTCATTTCTGTTTTCGGGGAACGGCGTTCATTGTGTAAGTGGAGCAAGATGGTGATGGGCGGTACTTTCGAACACATTGGGCGTATTGGTCGGTGAACCTGATATTTCTCCTAGGAAAGCTGAACAAGAACCATACGGGTCGTTTCTTTGATTCATGTTCAAACAATTGTTGTCTTCCCTCAAAACAGAAGCAACCAATCACTCAGTTTATTTTAGCTTTTAAAAAACAGCCTTACTCCAGGAACTTCCACCACCTGTCACGACATAGTTGAACGCGTTCCTAATTTCGAACCGACATTCCGTTGAATACAGAGTAGCCGGCTTCTTTTGGATTGAGGACGGGGCCAACTGGGTGAAACCAGCGCGCAGGACTTGTTTTACTGAGGTCACCCTCATCGATTTGGGCAACAGGACAGTTAGTGCGCAAACCACTGCTTTTTTACAATTATTCATCCCGGCTGCTTGAATGTCCCCCGGACGCAAGAAAGCAGCATTATCGTGTCTCCAGGGTGAACACATTAGATGGTGCTCATTACACAGATTGGAAGAGTGTACAACGTGTAGACCTCTTCTATTTTCCACTGGGGCATTATTTTTTTTAGGTTAATGTCAGATAACTGGTGTCTAGATGATGCAAATGACATTGGTAGACTGAATCCGCCTAATTCCACGACCGATCAACCCAAGGGCGATTTCGGTTGACTATCTAATCATCATCATCATCATCATCATCATCATCATCATCATCATCATCATCATCATCATCATCATCATCATCATCATCATCGTCATCATCATCATCATCATCATCATCATCATCATCATCATCCGAATCATCATCATCATCTGAATCATNCACTGTAGATGAGTACCAAGTCGACGCTCTTACCACCAAGTAATGGGATCAGCAAATTCTCACTACGTGACCCGTTCGAACTGGGGTTTTAATCTAATCAGTCAGTGAGCTTTTTCAACCGGACCCCAACTGCTCTACACCATGTATCTCATACGGGAAGAAATCTGTCTTGGCTTTAAAGTGGCCTTTTCTAGTCAAATCAATTTGGTTTTCACGAATGACTCAACCGAATCTCTCGCTTATGATATTCCTCAAATGAATGTGCTGCACACAGGCCGCCTCATTTTTCAGTTGGCATGATACTCGAGATATCGCAGTATATTTTCATAAAGCAAACTAGTCACAAGGTTGATTTACAAATGAGTGTATTTCTCGAAAACAGTCCAATTTGGGTTCAAGCAGAACATGAGGTTGACGGAAACTTGGGGAATGCGCCTACCTGATGAGCCCCAAGAAGGGCGAAACCGGTCGTGTTATCTCTTATTCTTATCGAAACACACCTCAACAAAATCGTTTTATCTTCCTTCATACGAAGAATTCCCGCATGATACCGTCTCCCGCAATCCAGCCCATTACAGTACGCAAAAAGTATACATATGTGTCGTATGATTAGCTTTCAGATATCGCAGTCAGCATTTTTGGTTTCCAAATCAGGTTGCTGAAAAGTTTTCGACAGTCCACGACCGGTTTTGCCCCTCTTGGGCTGACGAGGTATAAGCGTATTTCACTACTCATAAGGTGGCTGAAAACTCCTCGACAGCCCGTAACCGGTGTCGTCCTTTTAGGGGATTACCAGGCATATGAGATCCTCAAGTTTTCGTTAAATTAGTGATTTCATGTTGAACAATCAACTGGGCTGCCGAAGAGTTTTCAGAAACCCTATGAGTAGTGTATTAGGTCTATAGTTGTGAACCTCTTACACAACCCGAAAATCATGTTGAGTTTTAAAAGATTCACTCTGAACCTAGCTGTTATTTGAGCACTCTGAGTTGTTCAAGGAAGAATTGGTGTCAACGTTGGACGCACTTGCTAATGGCGGATAAGACGGAACTTTGTCTAAAAAACCAGACTACCTAGTTAAGCAATGGATTCGTTCTTGCAGCCTCTGCGATGCTGTTTAAAATTCGGTGATCACGGTAACCGTCACACTTTGTTTGTCATGTTCGTTCAGTCATCAAGCCACAAACTCTACTAGGCTTAGTTGAGGCCCCCCAATCGATTATGCGTGTATTTAGTCCGTAACTTGTTCCTCAGAAATTCTCTACACCAAAGCAGTAATTACAGAGATGGGTCGTTCATAGCGTACATACGAAAAACGGAATACACTGTTTTCCATGGTCCTCAGTAGTATGCACTTGGCAATCCATCTCAACGTTCACCTCGAAATCTCACGTGACTGAGGGACAGTCCTGCGTGAGGAATCGCAAAACGAACCCCACCTCAATTTCGGGTAGATAATTGCAGCCAAATGGAAGTAAAAGGCAGACATCCCTTAGCTTCACTCAGAACGCCATCAGTTGTGAACTACCACTATTTGGCTATCCCCCTTTAATCAAAATTCTGTTCTACATCAACATCGATCGTGCCTCTATGAAATGCCTGAACGCTGATCACATTCAGTCGTGCTTCTGTGGCGTGCCTGAGCACTCATCGGCTTTTGCTGAATTGATTGAATGACTGACTGGTCTAGATGCTTGGTGGCTTTCCTACTGAGATGTGTTGTTGGACATCGAACGCCGAAAACACAAGTAAACGATCAACCCATTCAGTTCACCACTGGAGCAATATGAGACCAACGGATTAGACTTCTTTGGGTTGTTCTTGCAAGCCTTCGGACGTTGTGCATTTTGTCTAGTCAACATGCTTTGAGATGATGCGTAATTGAAACAGCTTCGATCACCAGATCGATAATACCACCGAAAGACTATTGGCTGGAAGGTTTTAACGTGTTGACACGACTAAAAGTACATGAGAAATTGATAAATGAAGATCACCATTCAAGATGACTTCACCTGTGAATGAAAGAGCTGAAAAGATCATTATTTTCGACAAAGCAGGAGGTAACAACTTCACTGGATAAGGAAAAAAAGGTGACTACAAATCAAGGTGCTGTTTAGGCGGACAAAAAGGGTAGAGATAACCATACAACTTTCCTTACGACATACACAAAGGTCAGTGATATGCACTTTTAACGCAGTGGGCATATCAAAGCGTGTTTTAAGACATTCAACTCAGTCCTGATGGACAAAACAGAACCAGCAGCTTTCCAAATTTTCAACCCATGGTTGATGGTCTTCACGGAGGTACCATGGGCTCGATTCTATCAGGGTTCTTACCAACCAAAGGCACTGCACAAAGCCTATGCAGATCCCTGGCAGGAATTCTGACCAATTCAAAAGTATTATACACAACAGTGATTTTTCGTCTTTCATACATTTGCTATTCACTTCCACGTCCCATCATGCATCCTGATTGATAAACACCTGCTGTGTGTACGAACTGGTGGGCAGTCGATTGTATAATCTTGGCAAGTTCATCACCAACCCACAAAGGATCTCGCGTCATCCACTGAATTTAGGAAAAGACCAATCAAAACGTTTGTTTCATTCCAAATCGACAGAATGGTTCTTTCCACATTTGTGTCCAACACTAATGAAACAATGGTCTTATTGTGCAGGTCACATACAAGTGTCACGAACCATCTTCAGAGTGAATGTCCCAAGCACGTTTTTTCATAAGAACAGGCACAATGAAGAGTTTGTGACGTACCACCGTTTCCAGCTGGGTTTCTTTGGTCCCGGCAATTCTTTCGTAAGATGAGTCTTCGCCCACTCATCCTCCGCACATATTTCATCCGACTCTTCAACCGTCGCAAGCTCAATAGTGGTTCGGATTTAGGTCTCCGTACTCCTGTGCACCGAGAGCAGTTTTGCGCGCACCATGTGAGTTACAGTAACTCCTGTGAATGCGACAGGAATTTAACTTGGGTAACTCATATCCGAATGAAGGATCATCAGCTGAGACATCTCCTGACATATGTGAGTAATGGGCACCTCAAACCGCTTGTCTTAGAAGGTGGAAAACTGACACGGTGGTCTAAAAGAGGTGCGCAAAGTTTGAACCAGAAAACCAGTAGAATAATGATTCAATATCTTCAGGAATTTTCGTAATCCGACTCACCAAAATGGAGCTGTATGTGCGTCTGTATGTCCGCGAAGCAGGAAGATCACTGGAAATCGAGAAGGACAGTCTCTCCGCATTTGGCCAAACAAAAGATCAGTCTTAGTGTCATGACAGGTTTGCTATGGACAACAGGTTCACAAATGCCGAGCGCCATTTTGCTCCCGGCAAAAGCACTCCAGATGGTGATGCTGAATTATTCACTTTCAACTTTCGATGTATCGGGTGATTTTCTTGAAATTTTGTGGAATTTTTTGGTTCACACATCGCTTTACTACAGTGGAAGTGCTAT